TTTGGAAAAGATGGCTACATTTGTATTTGTGTGGGAAAGATGGCTGGGGTTGTGTTCATCACCCAGCGCAGAGTTTACAGACAAAAACAAAAGTTTGCCAAACCCTTTTTTTTGTGAACCAAATTGTTTGCAAACTATACAGGCTGCAAGAATTGCAAAGACGTAATCAAGCAAGGGAAGAGAATAAAAGTTCAGCTTAATTTGGGGGATATAGAAGATCTCTAAGATGACTTTTTCTGATTCAAGAAACCCAGTAAATTAAGAGTGCATGGTCACCACTATAAATAATGTGAGGTTATAAATTATTGGTAAGTAACAATTTATGAGCAATATCCTTTTGTGTTTGATTATATTATTTTTCTAATTAAATTCTATCATAAGGGAGCATTTCGTGCGGTTAGAAGCAATGGAGTGGAGGAAGCCACCTTCTTGTGCTCATTTAATTTGATACAGCACCATACTCTGTGGCCATTCCTCCTTCCACGGTCTAAACAGAGGTAAAAAATGAAATAACAAAAACCCAGGAGATCTCTGACGCTCTGAGTGACAGCACATGCATGTCGGTTCTCCTAGCCTGACTTTCCGTCACCTCTACCCTATTCCCCGCTGATTAAGGATTCATAAGTATATACTATGTGTCATACAGACAATTAGGATCAGAGTGACTTCTGGGACAAGCATGTGTGTTGAGACGGCACAGCACTCTATCAATCATTCCTGTCAATCACACGTAGAGATTTAAGAGGAGGCACCTGGGTTGAAGTGCGTGTCCTTTCAATTCAGAAAGCCTGGTTTATTGGGGGTTGTGGCTACTTCTGTGTGCTGTGACCTGTGTGCAGTGCTTTTGTTTTTTTGTCACCCCAGCACCAGTTTTCTGTCTGCTCCATATCTTTTGTTGTTACAGACTTGCCCCGAGCACAGCTTCCTGTGATCTTAAATAAATGTAGCTGCTTGTGTCTTGCTAGCAGCTGTACACCCGGCAATTCTTTGCTCATCGTGCACAAGGTCCTGGGCTATACCTGCCCATTATAAGGTAGCATTTTCCTATTGGTAGAACCGCTCTACACCACAGCCTATTTAAAGACAGTGTATATTTCCAATAGATCTTGTTCTTTTCATTCTTCCTTGAGAAAAATGAAATGACACAAGATATGTCCTAGATAAAGCCTACTACCTCAGGGCTGGGGATTTAGCTCAGCGGCACAGCGCCTGCCTGGCAGGTGTGAGGTTGTGAGTTCGATTCCTGATACAGGAAACCCCCCCGCAAAAAAAAAAAAAGCCTACTACCTCAGACTGCGCCAAAGAACAAAGACTATTGTGGTCAGATAAATAGAGAGTAAGAAACAATCTCTTTTATGATTTGAGATTTTTAAAGAATTGTTTATTGTTACTGAATAATATAGCAAAAGTCGATTAATATGCTTAACACAAGTAAAATGTCTTTTTAAATAAAATGTCTTAAATGTTTAAGTAAAATTTCTCAGTAATCTTCAGTACTCACTCATTCATAAATCTTTATTAGGTTTATTCTGTATGTGCAGTAAGTATAATATGTTGCAAATACTGAGTCCTGAAAAATACAATACCTTATGAATCTTCCATTCTAGTGAGGGAGAGAAATAAGTGATAAAGAAAAAAAGTAAAATCAAAGTAATTGTGCAAACTGTTCATTAAGGAGATAAGGCTCCGTGATGGGTCACAACCAGCGGTACACGTTAAGGGAATCCACTTTAGAAGACATGGTAATAAAGATCTTATTAAGAACTTGCTATGTAGCAGTGTGCAGCGATGCTCACCTATAATCCCAGCTATGAGGAAAACCGAGGCAAGACAATGGGAAATTTGACGCCAGCCCAGGCAACACAGCCAGTCAAAAACAAAAGCAGTTGAGGATGAAGGAGCAAAGAGAAAGAGCTGGTGATAGGAAATGGTGAGAGGTGGGGAGATGGACTTGGTGGAGATGGGAAAGGTGTCTGGGGATGGAGATAGATGAGCAGGAAGAGAGAGAGCAAGTAGAAAGGATCAAGGTGAATGTGTGTTTGTATCGATGCGTATCACAAACATACGCCAATAAGAAAAAGAGTTGATGTAGATCAGTGGCAGAGAGCTGGAGTGGCACCCATGAGGCTCTGGGTTCAATCCCTAGACCTCCCCCTCCTTACCTCTACAAAGTTGGTATTTAAACAAAGACTTGAAGAATGAAAAACTGGCCATATGAACAGCAGCCCAGGTTAGGGAACAGAAAACACAAAGCCTCTGTGAATCTCTTCAACCTCCAGCTTGACTGTTATCTAGAGGATGTTAGTACTCCAACAGACTCTATTGTAAATAACAGTAAGTCCCCAGTGCATTGGAGTTTCAGACTTTCACAGGAACAGACCTTGCATTAGGAACATTCCTAGATAGAAACAGGAAGTAGCTCATGCGTCTGCTGGACATTGTCACAGTTGTGCTGCTGTGTGATCACTACGCAGCGTGGTAGTGTACAGTAGTACAGTGCTCAATCAGAGCCCAGATGTTGGGAACCAAGCGGTGATGTGGAGGGGACTGCTAGGAAGCACAAAGCAATCGACGCACAGTGTGTTATATACTTGTGTCAAAGGTGTATAAGACTCTGCTGGGCTTAGGAACAAATCCGACTTATGAATGTTCTCCCAGAAGGGAACTCATTTGTAAGTCAAGGACTTACTGTATTTTAGTTAGATTTAAGTTTAGTCTATCAGAAATACATGGCACTGCACTACTTTCTTTAAGCAGAGCAGAATTAAAAAGACCTCATGGGATTGTAGTAGGTT